GAACTAGATCTATATGCTATTATGCTATTAAAAGGGATGTATGACTTCCAGGGCTATATTAATCATCTTGTGGGCAGAAAGATGTACAATTGCAGCCACGAGAAAACAACTCAGAACAACCCAGGACAACTGACTGGATGAAGTATGACACACTCAATCACTGGAAAACTTGATATATATATATATAAGAAATGACAGGCTGAGGACTGGAAGAGAGATGGGAAGAATAACAGCAACACTGAAAAGCCAGACCCAAATATACAGGCAAATCCTTTCCTTATATCAAATGATATTCAGACCATTTTAGGACTTTGTAAAGCACTCAGGTTCTACACTGTGAACAGGGAACAAGTCATACTTTGTATTTTGTTTTTCTAACTAAGCTGATCTGCCATACATGAAAGTATGAAATGTGAAATACGTCACTGAACACTACTTCAAGTGTTACCAGTTCATATACATGTTTCTATTATACTCTGAAAATATTTTTTCTACTTGAAAATTATTAAAATAGATAAAACCAAAAACAGAAAATCTATTTTTCTTAAATTTTGATCTTCTTTCCAACAAACATATGGTTTGGCCTGTCAGTTCATAAGAGGTGAATTGATTTTACAGAGCTGCAAATTCATGAATTCCCAGATGTGACAGCGCGATTTGTGATTTATTTGGCCTCAATCAGTCAGAAGCAAATCTAGTGCCTCATGCAGAGGCTGTCAAAAAGGTAACTCAGAGCTAGGAAAGGAGAATTACTTGGGGCTATTATGTCAAAGTGAGAAAGTCTGGATCTACGGAGCAATGTCAACTCTTTGGTAGAAGCCCAGCTCACCACGTCTATGCTACGCCTGAAAAGAGCTGGCTTTTCATACAGAGCTGAACTTGCTTGTTTGCAGAAGACATCTGTGCTCTTGTCAAAGTGTTATTGATACAATGAGGTAAGCAGCATAAGAAGTTACCATTAAAAAGAAGAATATTAAATAACACTTTTCGCAGAATGCATTTAGTGTAATAGCAGTGGCATTGTTAAGAACTGCACTGGGCTGCTAAAGAAAGGGGTTTCATTTGCAAAAATTTGCATACTTTTCTCTAAAAATGAAGAGGATTAGAAAGACCTTAAAAAAATCCATCCCCTGTAAACTGCAGGGAGGAGGCAGCTTGAATATTTATGCTTAGCATGAAACACTGGAGGCCTAATTCTGCCACCTATTCTTGCTAAGTGGATCATCACACCACAGGAAGGAATTTTTCAAATGAGAAAACATATAGACAAAACACAACCCAAAGGAAGAAAAGTTTCATCACTGAGTTCCATAGGGACAGGTAAGACCCGAAATGAAATTGGATGTTTGTCCAAACCACCTGCCACTAGATTTAGAACAGCCTACGTATGCAATCACATTAAACATTAGTATTTTTTCTTCATTTTCAGACTGCTTGCAAGTATACTGGCCATTCACTTTATCATTTCTCATCATGCATAAAGCTGTTAACTTCTACCTGTGATCAACCCAGCACAACAACCCCCATCATCCAGTTCGTCAATTGTCAAACAAGCTCACTTGTGCTTTACCATGTTTGGCCCCTGACAACTGAGAGGGACTCCAAGCTACTTCATTATACTCCAAAAAGCTCACATAATGGCAGCAGAATCTCAACACAGTCAGAGCTGCCCACGTGCTAACACTAACAGTTGATAGTACTGATTTCTATATTCTGTTAATGCTTCCCTGTAGTCCCCTAACAGTCTGTAGCTCTGTTGTCTCCTTTTGTATTGAGACAAATGTTCTTTGAGCTATGGGACATATTTGTGGTTTGCATACCACATACAAACTATTCAATGCATGGAAGTGATGGTTCCCCAAGGCACTGGGGCTATTCACACACACATTGTGACCATGAGCACGTATGTAGTAAGTTTAACAGTTTTTTGAAAGTATCAGACTTGTGCATGTGTTTCACAGCTTAGCAAGCTCAATGGATATGGGGATTTCTGGATGTTTGGAGCTCATGACAGTAGCTTAATGTTACTGGTGCACACTGGGAAGCACATGGTCAGTAGAGTCTAGTCTTTCATAATGAAAGACATCCCTCTTATAGCCTTCATTACACTATTATCCAAATTATCCAAGTGATGAAAAAAAAAAAAAAAGAAACCTAAAAGCACGGGCCTCATGCACCTAGATCCCTGAAAAGAGCTCCAGGCCATGACGGCAAGGCAAACAGCAACGGCTGACAAATCCATTCCACCAGTCCATGCTAGTTACAATTTTTACCATGGTCATTGCAGGACTCTTGGGGTCTAGCAATTTGTCTACATTATCGACAAAGTTATCCCTGACTGTTGAGCTGTCAAGATGCTTGCCTGCAGTGGGAGGATGTGCTAGTAAACAGCTAAACTGATTTCACTGAGAGTCTTAACAGCTGCCAAGTTAAAATATAAGCTACATAGAATGCTGAAAGAAATTAGGCAAGGATTTCACAAATAGCCATGGTAGGAAGGATGGGGTCTATCCATCGCTTTAGCTTCTAGGAGTGAGAGAGCTTCCTGGCTGTTTTCTGAGGCCTCTGCTCAGTCCTGATGCTCGCGCTGCTTTCAAAGAGGTGACAGCAGGAAAGCAGCTGTGCAGAAGCGATGGAGGCTGGCCAGCCCCCTCTCCTCTGCTGTGGCTTTGTTGGGCACGAGCTCAATTGTTTATCTTACATATAAAGTGACTGGCAACAGTTACATTGCCAAATAAAAGAAACACTGCAATAGCTAGTATTTTCTGTTATAGAGCTACAGCTTCAGCTCCCCCAACATGCATTAATGAAACTATATCTTTTCACAGAATTTATTGTGACAATCCAAGGGCCCTGGGGATAATACCAAACTGTCTGCTGGCATCATCTCTAGCCAGCGATTAAAAGGATTGGAAAGAGAGGACAAAATGTCTCTAATGAAGAAAAGGAACAGTCAAATACTTCACCTAGTGGAAGTCCTGCAGTGTTTTCTCACACTGTTCTCTCACTGGAGTTAATGTGAACCTTGTCTGAGCAAGGACTGTCAAAATAGATAGAAGGTAAAATATACTGGATATATATCCAGCAGGAAAATAATAATAATTAAAAAAAAATGTGGGGAGGGATTAGTCTCACCAAACTTCAACTCTCTTAAAAGTGTGATGCTGGTTAGACATGTTTAGCTGACTTCACAGTCAATGCAGAAAGAGAGGTGATTCATCTCAGCCTAAGACACGTAACTAAAAGAGAACAAATGACTCGCTGTCTGGGCGAGCCTATTTCCCGTCACTGACTATACAGCGATACGGGTCGGTATGCGTGCTTATGGTACCTGGCTTGGTCCAACCCATCCCGAACTAGCTTATTCTGCTTTTAAAACTATAGGGTAGCTGCCAGTAGACCTTCTGCTACAAGGAGCTGAGAGGATGGAGTATGACATCTTTTCATGTGTATCTGGTTCTCTGTTTTAAATCTTTCTTACACAGTTCTGCGAGTCATCAAGTAAGATTCCTGACACTGAGTGCTTTGTTTGCTGGTGTAATTGGGAGACATGTAATTGTTCACAGACATTACCCAGCATATGCTAACCACAGAGGCAGAATTATACGACCTTTGAAAGCCACTTATGTGTTTTGCAAGTTATTTTGTCCTGCTATAGTCTCCCTTTGAAAGACTAGCTACTTTTTTGAAAGGTACTGAAACCCAAACTTATGATTTCTCTCTGTTCTGAGACACAAATCTGTCTCTACTTTTTATAAAAGCAGGTAATCTGCAAAAGGAAAACAAGGAAGAAGACATGTCATTTAAAAAGCACTGCAGAGGAAACACTAATTGGACTCTTAATTTTTACAAACATGTTAATATCTCACATTCTGCACAGATGCTACAAATTTGCACGCAGAATATTGTTACTAAGCAACCCAAAAAGCCAAAACAAAAAAAAAAACATATACACAAAAGTCATTTTAAAGACATATCTTGCCCTTGGAGTGACATAGCCTGTTCCATTCAGCTTGAGAGTTGGCAGATGGCATGGTGAGATCATTATTTCTCCTTCCTTTCAGTAAATGCAGTGTAAAGTATTACAAATTTATGACATGAGATTGCAGGGCCACTCAATGGGTCTGATTTTGCTGCGGCTTAAAAGAGAGGGAGCTTTGCCACAAATTCCAACAAAAGAAGATCAGACTCCAACTGTACCACAACTGCGCAATACAGAACCATAATAAAATACTAACATTTCATATTGTTTGTCCTCTTAAGTTCAGTCTTTGATAATCCCAGTTTTCCTTGGAAATCCCTCTACTGGCTTAGAATTTCATGCATCTCACTCAGAACTATATATTTCTGCCTCAGCATAATGAATAGTAGTCGTAGATTTGGTTGGTGTTGCTTTGATTATGGCATTTTTAATTGAACTTGCTAGGACATTAAACAATGCTGGTGAAACCCTTAGGCTAAACTAAAGTCTTAGAATTCCTGATTTGCTGTGGCAAATCTATGTTGGAAAATATGACCTTATTTAAATACATTACATGCCCTGTTGTAGGTTCTAATCTTATTCCCCTGAAACCAGTGTAAGATTTACTAATGATTTCAGTGGAATTAGACACTGTCTGAGGAATGAAGTGTTGTTATTGCTCACAAGATTTACAGTGTGATCTTAGTCACTTTATGGGAAAGCATGACTTAAAAGCAGAAATCTGCAGCTCTTGGTTGCGAACTACACGGTGCAGATTTTCCAGACTGATCAGTATTAGTATGTTACAAATTCAGCTGAGATCTAGAGAAACATCTTTCAGAACATTACTGCAGACTTTCAAGAAAGTAAATGCACAAAATCATTCCACTTGTTTTCTAGAAATAGCAGTAGGATAAAACTACGTGATTCTCACTACTGATGTCTATCAGTTCACTTCCTGACTATAGATCATTATCCTGATGTAACTAGCTATAGAATAACCTGAGATACTTCTCTAAGAAGGGATAGTATTAACAGTAAGGCAGTATCTTCTGGCCTTATTTACACAGATCGTCTGACTGACTTCAGAGTCTCAAGAGCATCTGAAATCCACAGGACAATATGCAGAATTTGGCCTATACCTCCTCCTACATGTCAAAATCCATTTGATGGGCCCATGGAATTCATGAAGCAATTATTTTTCGCAGCACTGTGCTGCATGCTGTGAATTTCAGCAACCTATAAGTTCTATGAAATAACATTGATACCTAAATAAGACAAAGCCCTTCATATGAACTGTGGCTTAAATTACAAGATTGAAGAATTTTACTGGAAATGCTCTGATTTCTGAATCAAACCACCTACTTTTATTTTTAATATTGAGTGACAGTGAAGGAAGGATAGTGAAGTTAACAATCAGGTATATTTAACATATCTAGGGCTACCAAACTTCTGTTTTATCTAGTAATTTATCAAGGTTAAGATGCTTACATTTAGGTATCACTGGGTATCTAAGATACGAGGTATCTAAGTTCCCATTGTAGTCATTGGGGATACAGAGATCAATTTGGCTGCCTAAACGTAGGTGTCTAGTGCCGTCTGAGGTGTCTGGTGGCATTCTACTTGGCCTTTAGCTGCCACTCCAGAAAAGCAAGTCTGTTATCACAACGGCCACCCCCTTGTAGACATCTCAGCCTCGAGCATCTGCAGCGGTCAAAGGAGTCAAGCCTCTAATGAACACAACTAAAGTTACCTGGAGAGCAGTTCAGCTTATTTCAAAGAATCTAGGGCTCAATTTAGTTACCTAAAAATAAGTGTCTGGTGCAATCTTAGATGCCATAAATTATTGTGCTTGGCCTCCAACTGCCCTTTCTGGTAGGAACATATCTTCCGTGGGGCCTACATCCTCTTCCACGCTCATGAGGATGTTTACTAACTCCAGGCATCTCAAATGGCATTAAATGCCTATATTTAGGGAAGTGAATTGTTCTCTGGGCTCCAATGATGAAGTTGAGTTTAAATGGGAGCTTAGATACCTCATATGCCTGTAAACCACGTTGCCTTACTTATCTTAATCTTGAACTGAATCCCACCTTCAATGACAGATCCACATGAAGATAGCAAGATTTCAAATAGAGATGCAGGCAGTTACCTCAATTCTACATCATAGAATAGTACCTTAATTAAATAGCTATTTCACAGCTGACAGAATACTAATATCCATTTTCATTTGCTTGTTCACAAATTCTATGCATGCTGCAACATACTGCTACACATATCAACAAAGATTAGTGTATTCATTGAACGGGATGAGATACCTCAGCTACTAGAATTTGGATGGTCATATGAAAGCTCTCTCCAACACCTGGCCTAACACATTCAGATCTAGCTTGGGTAATTTAACGCAGTGTATCTCTACAGCTCTAAAATTATGAAGGCTAGAGACCAGCGACATATTTACTTTTTTGTATGACGATGTTGATGGGAAGACAACATCCTTAGGAAAAGTTTAACCACATGCACATCTGTCCCGAGGAACAAAACCTGTGCACTTGCTCTGTGTAACTGCCAAGCAATCAAATACCATTTTCCTACAAAGCCTAGTTTAAGAAGTATCCTGAAAATGTGTGGAAAAGGCTGAAAAAAAATCAGAAAGCCTTTCCGTATGCAACTAATGTTCAAATTTGATTGGTTCAAATAAACCCACCAGTAACCTGGTGTGGGAATTTATAAGTGGCGGTATCCTCCTCTTTTGATATGGTGGCATAAGCTATCTTACCTTTCAATAAATTGTGCTGTCCCAAAGCATTATTAACAGTTAAATTCTGCCTTCAACTCTAAAAGCATAGAAGTAAAACAACAGTTAGGAAATTTCAAGCTTGAGCTCTGGTCAGTATTTAATAATCTAGCGGCATCTTAACTGTCTCTACTCATATGTCTTTATTAGCTGTCACAGGCGAGTGATGATAGATTAGAAGTGATGCCTGGTTAATACTCTAAATGTCTGCTCTTTTACTCCAAGGCTCTTCTTCAATTGCTCTGTTTTTGCTCAGTGTTGGTAGGAGGGAATGAACTGGGTGATCTCCAGTTAAAAAAATATTCTGCATTCGTAATAAAGGTCATGAGCTAGAATATGAGACATACCTGTTGCTCTCTTACTCCTGGTAATGTTACTGCAACTAAGAGCACTGTGGGGTGCACTTAGGAGAATTTACAGAACGGCATCTTCCTCCTCTGTAAAGATAACAGTCTCAAACCTTATTAGAGCTATTTTTTCCCTCCTGTAAAATTAATGTCTTTTTAGTGTGCAACAGTTCAATCTGACTTTATAAATTAATATAAGCGTCGAAAGACCAATATTCTATATTGAAATATTCCAATATTCCATATTGGAACCACATGTGATTCTGTGATTTACTGTGACTCATCAGTTTGAAACAATCCTTAAGCAAATTCCAATTATATACATATAATATTAATGAAGTGCAATTCCCTCTGGGATGCAGGGCCACATTCAGACTGACAACTGCCACACTAAGCACTGCCAAAAACGTATGGAGAGCAAATTTCAAATTTCAAGGACGAAGGGGCATATCACTGCTGTAATGAAAAATGCCATAGGAGCTTTAGCAGTATATTTCCATCTACGCTCAAGATCAGCCTCTCTGTCTGCAAAGTCAATTTATGCCCACAGAACCCATGCCAGCATTATTCCAGCAACACAATAAACTGTAGGTGGACAAATGTATGGCTGATACTCCATTTGATTTACACCCACAATCTAATAAACAGAGGGGATCAAAACGTGCAAGTTCTGTGAGTTAATGAAGTCTGCAAAACAAGGACAATTACATATATAGAGTAGGCAGGAATTTGATTTTCCATTATCACCTAAAACTCTTGCAGACTGCAAAGTGTTCCAGTGACAGAAGGGTCTGGTCTGTAGCGCTGAGATCATACAGTTTAGTCTCGGGTAAATAACATAACTTTTACAGTTTAGCTTCTCTGTTCAAAGGATTTGAAATAATAATACTTATGTACCTAATTTCAAGGACATTGTAAGAATTAATTAATGCTAACATGCCCTTCAAACATACAAAGCACTGTATGGAACAAACGATTTCACTAGTTTGGCAGAACAAAGACTTGCAATGACCTTGCTGAACTTGGAACATATCGTTTCACATAACACAGATTTTTGAAATTTGATGCTTACGTTAAGCTAAAAATTGTTATTCTTTCAGCCAAAGAATGTATTTTACAAGGTTTGATCAACTACCAGAAACTCCCACAACATAATACATCATGCTTAAACTACTAGAAAGCATACTGAGGACTGAATAACATGTGAAGTAGGCTACTGAGGGGAAAAGTCAATTATTGCTTTGAATGAAGTTGATAATACCTAGACACGACAGTATTTTGTGTATTTACTTTGGTTGGCTATGGGTTCCCATTTGATTAAAAAACCTTTCTCTGTTAAGAAGTATTATATGATTAGAGAGTCCTTCTAACTGGTTAAGTAGCCATATAAGTGGAATATTTTATTTAATGATGATTTAATTAGTAGAAACACTAAAAGCATATCTACATATCAGTGAAAGGAAATGATCTTACTCTTTCACTTACTCAGCAACCCTTCTGAAATCATATCCTGCATAATCTCTTAAACGTCCATTTACTTCACCGGATCTGTCATGTGAGGTTTTCATTTGGCTCACCAATACAGGGGGTCTTGTTATTGTACAAGGAAGCCCCCAAGGCCTGAATCTGTAGGAGCAGAGGTTCCTCCTCAGAGTCGTTGCATGCCTTTCTGTCTCACAGCTTGGATTTCGTGAGGTCAGCACATTTCTGAAGATGTGGTTTCTCCACTAAAACCTCCTATTTCCTTTTTGCAGATATTTTTTCTTCTTTCAGCCTAAACCATTGCACCCAGCTAAGATTTTTAGTTTCTGTTAAAAAGTTTCTGAAGCTCATTTAAATTATCAAGCAATATGCACTAGCTCATAGATCATACTGCAGTTCTACTTACAGGGCAAAGACAAGGGAAGAAGTATCTCTGCCTTCAGCCCATGAGGCAACACTGCTAAGCTGGTAACAGGATATCGTGAGAGAGTGGGTGAAAGAATATTTTAGGCCATGCTGACTCGCTTTCCTGCCGGAGGGCTGCTGCCCTCATCCCTCTGCAAGTCTGTAAATAGATTAACCACAAGAAAGAGTAACTGTGAGCAGAAACAGCCCCCCCTGCACCGCCCTGTGCTTTTCCACTGCAAAAATCTTTGCCTCTGTCTTGGGGAGTCTCTGAAGAGGAGCTTTCCCTTTTCATTTCTCTGCCCAGGCGTTTTTCAACATCTCAAACTTGTGACTTTGTTGCTGTTCTGTTTCTCTGTGATCCCTATCAAAACAACTATCTGCAGGATGTTTCCTCCCATCATCTCACGCCTCTATGATAAAGTCCAGACACATCATGCATACCCTGGAACGGTAGCGCTGCCCTTTATTTATTTCAGGGTCAAAGGCTGCCTTCTTAGTTTATAAAACCCTTATAGCCTTGCTTCAGCCTTTCCCAACAACTTGTCTTCTCTGACCTGCCCCATGTTCTTGCCACATTCAGTCTTTAAACCTTCTTGTACTTCCTGTTCTCTGAAATAGCTTCCTATATCTCTCCGCCTCCTGGATTTTCCTTCTGAGGTCAAATTGCAGCTGAGAGCCAACAGTTTTAACCTTATCTCTTCATTCCTTTTCTCGTCTCTCTTTATCATTATTAAGTTCCCTGAAAAACATTCTGTCAAGAAGCTTATATGAAATATGCTATACATATAAAACTTCTTCTCATTTCTCATTATTTGGAAAATCTACCCACGTATTATTTGATTGTTTTTAATGTGAAGTAACTTCAACAACTTTTTTCACCATGGAAGTAATATTCTAACCACACAATATCGAAAAGCACAATACCTGGCAAACATGGAGTACTAATGAATACGGTGAAATGCATAGCAGCAGCTTGATGTAAAGGAGACTGCTGACTGGGACTCAGAAGTCCAGAGCAGTGGCTCTTTGACAAATTGTGCATGTCAGCATTTCTCACGCTAAACCGCATTCCGTCTTGCATTTGGAAAAAACAACCAAGGAGTTATCATGAAATCTATCATAGCCCATTGACAAAATATGATCCTCACTGTAAGTCGTAGTTTAAAGTTTACAGATTTTCCTTTCTAACAAGCAAATATTAGAGATCTCTCATCAGTCGACTGTTTTCTATGCGCTGTTATCCAAGAACAGCGTGCGAAGAACTGTGCTGCCGGCCGATTCCCAACAGACTGTGCCATCACTCTTAGGACACATTTCCTAGACTCTCCCATGATGAAACAATAGATCTGTGTGTCGTGAAAGGTATTGAAAAGTTTCTTGTTACTACAATATACTGCAGTGAAGCACTGCAGCAGGGAAGTGGGTTGCTGTGAAGATTGCACTGATTTGCCTTATGTTACAGTGAGGTAACACGGACCATTTCAATAACCTCCAGGTAATCTGCATTAAAACCATACTACTGCAGTGTACTGCGGTATTAGGCAACATTTCAATATTGCATCACACGATGCAACGCAACCTGATAGCATTTGTCACTTTCTAGGCAGTGAAGGAAAGCATTTTATCATATGCTGCAGTATATCAACTTTCCATTTACAAAGCAATATGACACACTATTCTCTCTCAATATGCTGATATATATTAGGACATGATACAAAATTCCTGGAATAAAAAAATCATAGACATAAAAGCTAACATTTACTTTCTTTCTTTAACTAGCCACCCTACCTGATAACAAGAGAATCTTCCAAAGAAAAGGGATTTCCCTAACACTACAGGTCAAGAAAGAAGTTATAATGTAGTTAGTTCAGTGATACATACACCTCACTGTTATAAAGATCATTTTCCCTGTTCTTATTCAAGGTACCACAAATAGATACATTTTGCTCTGTCTCTGTCCTTCCAGCACATGTATTTTTTAGTTTAACTTAACTTTGCATGTATGTTTTTATATATAGTATATACATAGTTTTAGGGCAGACGTACAAAGCAGTAACATTTCAATGTTATTCCAATGTTTACAGAGAGATCTTCATTATTCCTATGAAGTTTCTGAAATGTTTCTCTCATGTATGCGTTTGCATTGAAGATACATAGAAAGGGTATGAATTTTGTCACCAATTAATCATATTCTTTTACAATTATACAGGCAAATTGATATCGCAAAATATATGCTGGATATCTTTTCACCATGCGATTTTTTGGGGTCATAATATGAGAGCTTAAAACTGCATTTGCAAACATCTCTGAAACGGCCTTTGAAAGAAAAGAATCAGCAAACTAACAGCTCTTAAAACAGCTACATAGATAAACTGCTGTGCAATCTGCACTTTCCAGTATTTTTGTAGTATATGTGATGTATCAGCTTCTGCAAGGCAGCGTAGTGGAAGACACTGAAGAAGACATTTGCTGAAGCAGGTTGCAGTTTCCTGCAGTAAGACAGTATGTATGTTATTGCTATATAGCTGATTTTGCTGCAGCAACCCGCTGCACCAGGCAACTTGTCAATGGCTTTCATGTAGGAAACGACTCGGCAAGGATGCAAATTCCGCACCACGGGTACGCACGCAGCATACACCGTGCGCGTTTCAACACCAGCCCCAGAGCAACCGGTGCTGCTGCGTATTAAGAAAGAACCGCTGCCCAGTCTCTCCTGTAATCGGTCATAGCATAAATCCCAACACCAGCAAGAAGGGTCATCAAGACGCAGGGAACCTGAACATCTTCCTAATGTGTATCCTATTAATATGCACGCTAACATTTTCAAATCCTTTCCTACTGCTATAGCTTCGCCGTGAAAACAAGGCTTGATCTGAGCCCGGCTTTACAGGCTCGCCTGCACGGAAAACCTCGCAGCAATAAGAGAACGAGAGACAACCACACGGGAAGGACAGACGGACACGCACAGACGGACTCCTTCGCCCAGACCCGCCCGCAGCGGCTCCGCGCTGCAACTCACGCGAGCGGCCGCTG